TCTAATCTCACGAAGTGCCGTACTTTCCTATTTACGGAATCGGGCATTTGATAACGTGTAGAAAAAATATACAGGAAGTGTACCTGCACTTCAGTCTGTGCTGTCAAATTCTATTTACAGTCTGTAAAATTGTGTTCAGGTGTCCCGTTCCCACTCGCTCGCCAGTCGGACTTTGGCCTTCGATCGCAGTTGCCCTCCCCCTCCCCTACCTCCCCTTGTTGCCACCGCCTAGCGACCCTCACCAACGCCCCTTCACGAGCCCGCAACGTGTCTGCCTGACGCCTTAGATTCCATTGAGGCCACGCCTGTTCCGCCGCGTGGGCAAACTTCTCTGCCTTTTGGCAAACTGTGCGCCACTTACCCACTAAAGGGACTCCACGGTTACCTAGAACCCAACCGTTCACACCGCACAGGAGGCGGCCCGCCGAACATGAAACAAAGCCCAATATGCCGTACTAGCCTACCCACAGTATGGCACCCAGTCGGGTGACGGTGGTGGAACGAGCAAGGAGGCGTCAGACTGAAAAATAAATACCCAATAATATCGTACGTCAATGATGCAAAACTATATTCTGAGACATATCTTTTCATAACGTCGCACGACCACAATTGTCGTGACGACATGTTACTGTATGAGAAAAAGTCACGTTCAAGAATAAAGCATGGACAATCATTCTAAAATCTATAGGCATAACAACAGATCAATGCAGGCCATAAGAAATTTAAATACATAAATATAATAAAAAATATAAATATATATAATAAATAAAAGTGTAGATAAACACTATCTGAGATAGAGATAGCTATAAATGGCATTAAGGATCCGGGTAGTTGCAGAATACTAAGAAACAATCAATAAGGCCCAACAGGTGATGAGCTCGACCCCAGTCTTCTCAAACTCTGCCTACTCAAATCGCAGTCTATCCGTTTCTCTCGCTGTTGTGGAGGGCTATAACTGTCTACTGACGTCCACACTATCGTCGTAGTGTGTTACACACGTCCACAATGCCGTCGGGGTAAAAGTTACTCACGTCCACACTATCGTAGTATGGCTACGTCCATAATATCGTCACAGTGGGTTACTCACGTGCGTAATGCCACAGTGGGTTACTCAGCACTCACGTCCATACTATCGTGGTAGGCTACTGAAGCACACACCATGGGCGGCGCCACCGGGGGGGACGGGGGGGACAGGTCCCCCGCTATCGAAAGTTTGGGGGGTACAGTACCCCCCTATCGGCGAGGCCCGTTCAATAGTTGATAATAATGCATTGTAGAGTTATCCGTCGCATTTAATGCATCGTTGGTTAATCAAGGCAGGTTCTGAATAAAGATTGCTGTTGGGATGTACCTATCGCAGGGGGTCCTGGCCATCTGCAAAAGGTGTGGAGCTGTGATGCCTGTAGTAATAAGGTGATCGGCAGGGCCTCGGGGATCGTGCCCCCCCCCCTTTTTGCGGCGCCAGGCAGGGTTATTACCTCCCCACCTCACTGCCACACCCCATTGCCGACAAAACCAAGTTTACTGAAATTCCATAGATTTCCGTTACTATATGGATATTTTCCATTCCTAATTAGTCAAATTCAAGCATGGCAGTTCTACCACAGGAACCATTTGAAATCTATTGCCATTTAACCCCAGCACTTGTGGGGAGAAGTGTTCGGATAGATCACAGGCAGGACCAAAAAAGCACGCAGTAGCCCAAGACCTTATAATTGGGTAGCATCGGCTCCCTCTCGTCAAGGGGCTCGATAGCACTCGTTTTTTTTTCTTCTGCAAAACTAAGTTCGGTCGGCGGCCGAACGGCTGGGGGTCTAATCGAGCCCCACCTCCCCTTCTTACGTCAGCGGCTGTGAAAATGCCATTACCAGCTGTTGAAACATGGCAGTTGCTTTTTCATGAGTGCACGAAGGGTTTTAGGTACGTGATACGTAAAAGGTTCTACATGAAAATTGAGATAGGTACACCAGCTTATCAAATTGTGTTCACTGTGGTGCGCTCGGTTTTACCTTGACTAGTCTTTGAATTCTGGGGTGAAACAGACCAGTCAAGAAACCTGTTCCATAAGGAGAGCCACTAATGCTAAAGAGATGAGGGATGAGGTTTCCAGAGACCTTCATTACCTCCCAAAGGGGGTGCCCACTGCCCCGCCATTTGCCAATCCCTGCTGTAGTTGTTACGATTGGAGGGAGGGGGAATATGAGAACGACTGCAGGTCGTGCCAGCTCGATCATGACGAACACAATGGTGCCGACATCACAGCTCTACTGCCATTTTTGACGAAGTTAAAAAAAGTCAACAAGGACCGGAATCCTACCCTGGGGCATTTCACCTGCAGAGGTCGCCGGACCTGAGACCCTTTCACTCATTTTTTTTTTTCAGCGGTGCATGCGCTCGTTTTTCCTGCGAAGCTCTCGGTACACTGAAAACAAAATGACACAAAAAACGACTAAAAACGCACAGGCAGAGCGTGTTAACTAGGTTTTCTTGTGTACCCTGCATCATGCATTTTTTGACCCGTCGCAGACGTGTCAATTTACAAATGTGTTAACCCAGTCGTGTTGTGTCCTAAAACACAATATAATTGTGTCTTCAACACATAAGGCTTGTGTGAATACATTTGCAGAATACAAGGTAAATGTGTTACTAAATTTAACACAAATCGCAAGTGAAAGAAGGAAACACATGGTGATTATGTAGTTTGTTGCCGGGGCGCAGTTGAAGGGACTTTAGCTTTGGCTGGACAAGCTGATTGCCAAAGCCGGGCCCCGAGTGGAATCGGGCGCATGGGTGCCGTCAGGGCTGAGCAGTGAGCACCCGGCCGGCCGACCCATACGGTCAGAGCGCGGTCAGGGCTGAGCACGCGGCCGACCGACCCATACGAGGCCGCCGACCCATACGCGAGCTGGAGTTGCGCCCGGTCGGCCACTTCAGAGCCGAAGGGTGAACGCGTCACGTGGACGGCTCAATCAGAACACCAAGAGACGATGCCCCAAATTGGAGGACTATTGCACAATACAGTTGTCCAGACAGCCGGGATGAAGTTTCGGCCAGCGATTTTTCAAATATATCCTATATAGACCGAGGAGTTTCTTCCTCCAAGCAGACGTTAATTAGCTATGCTTCAGTTTGCACTTGATGTAATCAGCGCATATTGCTTTAGACAATTTATCATGTATCGACTCCCTCGGCTGTATTGTGCATTTTGACCTTTCTCAAAACACTTTGGCAAATTTTTACAAAAACGCAGCATAAAAGTCGGTGCTCGAAAAACGCCCTCTGTTATCCCCATCTGAAGTTAAGGTTCAGAGGTCGCTCACTGGTGGATGGCACGGTATATTTGTGTAAGGGTACACGTCTACCATATCCGACAACACATGATTTCGATACACTGATGCATTACATTCGTCCAGCGTGCTTGGCACGAGAAAAGTGTGTCATTATTCTGTTTTCTGTGTTATCAAACGTGTCGAAGGTCCCGCCAAGCGTGAAAATACACAGCCTTATTGTGTTTTGGGTGCGATTAACACATGACTGATGTGTTACCAGTACAGAACATGCCCTCACTGTGTCGATTTGTTTTCAGTGTAAGTAACATCCATCAGAAAGTGTGATCAAATAACGGCTGGTGACCTTCCATGACCTAGCATGACCTTTTGAGTGACCACGCACCGATGACATGACCACTGACGGCTAGCCAGAAGCTGCACCCTGCCCGTTGCATATGGAACAGGTGGTGATGTCATGATTCTGAAATTATATTGCAGTTTTGGCGCACTTGTCAGAGCAGAAGACATTCCCACTTTTCCTCCATGACTATAGACGTATGATGGTGAAGCCATGAAGCTGACCAGACGTAAGATCGAAAATTTGAAAGTACGAAACGTAAGAATAGTTGGCACTGCTACTCATACCTAAGCAATTCGCAGCTTGTAGGAAACCAGCTTTGAGTTGGCAAGACTGCAAATTTTGATTTAGAGGCAAGGATGCTTGAAAAGGTGATCGATCTTAGGTGTCCTAGGATAAGTTTGGAAACGGGATGCACCATTCGATGTGTTTTGGGCTTTGCGGGCTTTGCCAAGTTTCGCGGCGTTACGTGCCTCGTTTTTTTTTTTTGCATACACGATCAGTAGGTATCTACTTTTGGGATTTTCGGTCATGGCAAGCCCCCGTCCCCGTCCCCCCCTATCGAAAACCCGTGGCGCCGCCCCTGGCACACACTATCATAGTCGAGGTGGGATACTCACTTTCATTATGTCGTGGAGGGTTGCCTACGTCCATACTATCGTCGTCGTGTGTTACTCACGTCCATAATATCGTCGATCTCTTTGATGACTTCGTCGGCGGTCTTGAGCCGGTCGGGCGGCTCTGCCTGCACGCCGGCCAGGATCAGCGAGTGGATGTCCAGGTCACTGGCCACGGCCTCGTCCTCCTCTGACAGCGCGCCGTCGTCGGCCGGCGCCGCCTGACGGCACACGGCACAGTCAGCGGCGTCCAGCGGCTGCTGGTGGGACAGCTCAGTACAATTGTCTGGTGGTAAGGACTTAAGATGTTTAGAAAAATGTGCTTCTCTGGCAATTGTTATCTGGCAACTTAAGTTACTGTAAAAATTAAAAAAACGCATCCTCATTACTCAATAAATGCTACAATGCTATAGAGCTGAAGCAAAATTTAAGCTTTACCTGTTTGTCATTCAAATTGAGAGCTGGCATGTGAAGCTTCCTTGCATGAGACTTAGCCCAGTCAATGGGCAAGATGTTTCCAAAGTTCCCTGTGATTGTCCACCACATCCTGGGAAACATAAAAGAGAGGTATCAGATTATGACTTACTGGCAAGTGACAGCTATAGGACAAAGTAGCTGTTGTGGGTGAAAATAAATAACTCCTTTATGCTTTGAAGTACAGAACAATCATGAAGATGAAACATGAATGGGAGCAAAACTTACACATGTGATAAAATGCAAAACAGAAACACAGGTACAAAATTACAAACTTACAGAACAATATCAAAAGGTAAGGGCAAATGTCTCTGTTCCAGGTTGCAGTTCACTGCAGAGCATATAAATACCTGGATATAGATGTCATGAAGTCATATGTCAAGATACCACATCAGCCTTGAAGAAGGTATGTTTATTGTTTAGTGCTATGACCTGTGAGCTGTGACTGTCCTAAGCTCCTCAAAGCTCATCCTGAGGCTATGCTACCTCAAACATTGCCTAACACTTTCCCAAAAGAAAATGTGGTCTTCTGGAGTAAATAAAAGTGAGTAACTTCAAAAGCCCCCCTGCAAAAAACCACTGCTCATCATTTCAGCACCCATGCAGTGTGCAAACAGGATGTTAAATACAATAAATGTTACTGTGGTAAGCAACACAGCTTTCTTCCAACTTCCTCTTAGTTCACTGTCTTGCTTTATGAGAGCGATTCCAATGAAAAAGTGCCCCAGTTTAGGCTGCAATACCTAATAACAAATGGCTGGCATCAAAAGGAGAACCATGCACAGAAAACCTGATGCTGATTTACATTTTTCATATCAAGTACATTTTCAGTTTTGAGCAAGGTGTAAAAAGAGACAATTCTGGGATTCATGTTGATTTCTGCAAGGAAAGAGATTAGAAGAAAAGACCCAATGCAACTGCCAGTGCCACAATTATTGAGGTAGCATCCATTTAATTTTCATTTTTCTTGTATATTTTCATCAACAGCATAAACTGCCATGCAACCCAGCTGAATTTTGATACTGATAATGCCCTCCCTTTATTTGGCAAATGGCTTAAACATCAGCAATAAGCAAAGTTCTTTGCTTTATGCTGCTTCTGAGTTCTGCTAATACTAATAGCAATGAGAAAGTCAAAAGGCCTCTCAGAAATCAGATAAATCACAGAATTGAGAGAAACAATGATATTTAGACAAACACAATTGAATCGTTACTCAGCTAAAATGGTAGAAGCAAAGCAGGCGTCACACTTGTTTTTTGCAACCAAGGAGAGACATGCTACTAGGACGTAGGTTAGGTTGTGTGTTTTAGGTTGTAGGTTATAGGTAAGGTTAGGTCAGGTTGGGTTTGGTTTGATTAGAAAGCATCTCTGGACAGTGCCTCTTCTTGTTTCCAAAAAAAAAACAAGCATGAAGCCTGCTTTACAACAAATACTAAATCTGTGGCAAGCTGAAACACTGAAACATTGGTAAAAAACTTATATACTCACTGGCAGTCATTCATTATTTCCTCTTGACTTCGAACCTGCACTGGTGCCATTTCTTCGACATTTTCTTCAAAATTGCTGAAACACTTTGTTATTTTCTCATCAAAACTGTTCACAAGGTCCTCAAGGGAACCGGAAAATGTCTCATTGAAGTTCTCCGAAAATCCTTCCACTGCATTATCGTTCGGCACTTCCCTGGGTTTCAAGGGTTTCACATTGGAATTTTCTACATCTTGTGAGCTCTGAAAATCACTAAATTCACCAAAATCTTCGTCGTTTTCCGATTTAGCCAAAGGGGCCTCTGCACGGAGCTCAGCCATTTTTGCCGCAGCCTTCATTTGTTTACGCCCAGCCGTGTCCTCTGTGCAATGCGTCGGCGCTCGACAGATGTCGCTAGTGCAGCGCAGGGAAGGGCAGGGAGCTCGGCGACCGAGGTGCGTCGTGCGCAGGGTCCGGCGCCTGCGCTGCTCGCCGGCAGCCGTCACAGCTCGATAATCAATACCGGCCCTCCTGCATTTGCACTTTGCTGAGGGCCTTGGGCCGCCATGCAATCCAAATGAAACTGCTTGAGCTGCCTTTGCTCTGCACCTAGGGGAAGGAGGGTGAATTGCGCCACCTTAAGGAAAAACGCTAATTGCAAGAAAACCGCTGGAGATAGGTATAAGCATGCTTTGGTAACCATTTCAAAGAGGAGCTCATTGACTACGATTTAAGAGCCTCCCGATCAATTAAGAATGTTTCGTTTGCTTCTGACAGCTGCTTTTTCAGAAACATGCAAAAGGGCACATTTGCCAACAACTGCTGCAAATTGCGCCAGGGGGATGGCGCAATTAGAACCCAATTGCGCCCTATACTTTAACATGGCTAAGTGAATGAGACGGAATGCATACACCCCGGCAGTCTAATGTCATTGCGGCTTACTTACATGTATAATGTTATTCAGGCTAGATGAATAATAAATGTAGGTATAAATCGCGATGTTTTTTGCCCAGGTAGATAACTTTACATGTGTCCGTACGCTTGTAAAAGTGCAACGAAAACGTTTACTGTAACCGACTAGATATATGTGAACGTATGCGCCTATACAGTTAACTTTTCAATCGGTTCTTTCAAAATTAATAGTTTTTATCGTTTTGACAACTTAATGACATCAGTTTTTACTTTTTTATCATAGCTGTCACTTCTCACGCCTGAGTCCATGTTGAAAATGTCGTATTTTGTCAATTACACCACAAGTCGTGGCCTAAATGGCAGCTGCATTATAAGTTTGACGAGAGAAATAATTTGCGGACTAACGACAGCGGGCTGCTCCCTTGCCTGACATTAAACTCCTTCTTTATTGCAATCAGTTAATGATGCATTCATACTGTCGTGATACAATGGCTACACCATTATTCTATTTGCGCCCCCCTGGCGCAATTGCCATGGGCGCAATTAAAATTGAGGCACTTTTTAATAAAAGCATAGAAGTTATCATAAAGATGTTGCAGGAAGTTTACGGTTTCAGTGATATACAATGAAAAAGGGGTTTTTCTTTCTAAATATCACTCTGAAAATCACACAAATATCGTAAATTTTTATAGCCAACGGTTCAAAATACTGCAAAAAAGTTAAGAAAACGCCATAACATCTTTGATGGCGTAATGAGCCTTGCTGATTGGCTTCGTCGGAGTGTTTGGGCCATAAAAGGAACAATCCAGTGGTGAAAATAATGTTTTCGAACACAAAATTCTAAACATGCCATTGAATCCGTGGGAATGTTGGTGGGCGCAATTGGTTAGGAGGGCGCAATACACCCACTTTCCCCTATAGGTAGGTACCAGGGGCGGATCCAGCCATTTTCCAAGTGAGGGGCCAAAACCGGCCACTTTCCGAGCCCATTCAAAACTCCATACTGAGACTTAGGGTGCACTGATTACCCACCCACCCCGAACAAAACATGTCCGTGAAGTTATGTCCGTGAAGTTAGCGTCAGCAACAGCAACGAATACAGCGTCGGATTCAGAATCACTTGAAAAACTCCTATCAGCTCAATTGGGGGACGGGGAGCAAGAATATGACATTTATATGGCCCTAGCTCTTACCCCTTACCCCTTAATCGGCCCTTAAAGGAAGGGGCGCGTCAGAAGTGCCTCAAGGGTTCGTCTGATCGCCAAAATAAGGGTCGCAATCGATTCCTTGGGTCAATATCTAGCCGCAGCCTCGGGTTCCAGATGTGTGCAACTTACCCCTTACCCCTTAAACGAACCCTTGAGCCACTTTTGAAGCGCCCCTTCCTTTAAGGGCCAATTAAGGGGTAAGGGGTAAGATGCACACATCTGGAACCCGAGGCTGCGGCTAGATATTGACCCGAGGAATCGATTGCGACCCTTATTTTGGAGATCAGACGAACCCTTGAGGCTTTTTTGACGCGCCCTTTCCTTTAAGGGCCGATTAAGGGGTAAGGGGTAAGTTGCACACATCTGGAACCCGAGGCTGCGGCTAGATATTGACCCGAGGAATCGATTGCGACCCTTATTTTGGCGATCAGACGAACCCTTGAGGCACTTTTGACGCGCCCCTTCTTAAGGGCCGATTAAGGGGTAAGGGGTAGGGGAAGTTGGGGCAATGCCGGGGTTGGGGCAAAGCCGAAATTCGAGATATTTCGAAAACCGTACGACATGGATGACACCTGTCAGTGATGCTCTGAAGCTTAAGTGACTACCAATTATCGCATGTTTGTTACCAGTCGTCATTCGGAATACTTCGGCTGTGAGGGCGCCAAGAGCGTTTTCAAGGTACGTTTCCTTTGTACTACATGCGTCTTCGAAGCTGCATTTCCTACTCATTATGCTACCGTTTGTCTGGCCAATTCGGCCAAGTAATCTTCAGCACGTCTTTGCATAAGTGTGCTGCCTATTTGAAATTTATACAACACGTTGAAAAGTTATGGGCCTGCAAATGAAAGTATGGCTGGCTGGGGTAATGCCGAAAACGTGCATTTACGCGTGTTAAAGCATGCTACGTGAACTTTATCGAACTTTAACTTTACCGTAGAATAGCAACGCGTATTTTTAGTCACACAAATTACACTTTTAACCGACACAACGGCCTGTTACCATAAGGAATGATTTACCTGGCCTTTTCTTATTATATCACACAATTTTAACTTCCAGTGTGCACCAAGCGTCCTCAAGCTCTTAAAACGCGTGTCAGCTTTGACGAATTCTGGATAAAATTTGAGATAAAATAGCAAAACATCAATTTCGGCATTCCCGTAGATCATTTCTCCCATTTTCGGCTTTCCCCGCAGTCCGGGGCAACGCCGAAAAAGTCACTTCTTTGATATTTTTAGTTTGTGCGCTTAACGGTATGCGAATTCATCAAATGCGCCTGGTATGTTTGAAAGGCAAAAGACTGGCCTCTCGAATGACGCCAACAAGAATAGCTTATGTTGTCTACCTTGCGTGCTACGGGCGTCAGAAAAAAAGTATTCGGCGTTCCCCCAACTTCCCCTAAGTTGCACACATCTGGAACCCGAGGCTGCGGCTAGATATTGACCCGGGGAATCGATTGCGACCTTTATTTTGGCGATCAGGCGAACCCTTGAAGCACTTTTGACGCGCCCCTTCCTTTAAGGGCTGATTACGAGCGAGCGAGCGCAGCGAGCGAGCGAGTTCATACTCAGGGAAAATCCTGAGTATGAGCGGCCGGCCGTGGGGACGCTCTTCAAAAGCTAATATCTTAGGAACGGGACATCTGATTGACAAGCGGTCTTCTTTACTGAATGTCACTTGGACGTAAAAGTTCTGTGGTGTGATGGCCACCATGCGTTCTTGCCAACCACCGCACGTGGCGTGTGGTAAAGTTGGACATTTTTTCAGAACCCCCAAAATTGCAACCTCAATAACGGCACAACGGTTGGGCCGATTGAATTGAAAC